CACCCAGGCGCCCCTAGCATGCTCTATTTGTCTCACCCCCTAGGCCGGCTAAGACCAAGAGACCTGGCGCCTCACGACTGCCGTTAACAGCCATCTGCCCGGCACCAGGATTTTGTTTTGTATTGACCCAAACCCCTAACAGCGCATACCTTCAAGACCTCCTTTCCCCCACGCCCATGAGTTAATGTTCACGGTTTCATCGTCTCTTTGTGCACGTCCATCACGCTTGTAAAAATAACAATAGAAACAGAGCCAGGACCCTTCCTCAGGGCTCTTGTCTCCTCCTGGACATTACCCTCTTTTGCAGTCCAAGCCTGCGTCCGCTCTCTTACTGGACAAGACAGAACTCCAGACCCAGAGCCTACGACAGGAGAGTACACTGGAAGAAGAGGGTAGACTCAGAAATACTGAGGTGACATCCTGTCCTGGGGGCAGAGGTGTGACAAGTACCCCTTACCCTGTCCCTTTCTCCGTCTTTATGGCACAGTTGATACAATGCCGAGGGGGGACGCTGGGCACAGGGAAAGGAGAGGCAGGTCTCCACCTGGGCTTTCCTGCCAGGTGCTCCCGTGGGCGGTCTCTCCGAGGGCAGCGTTTCCTTCCCTGCAGCTGGGCGTTCACATGCCTGCACAGGATCAGGTCTCTGTAATTATAAATCAACTGCCTCCCTGTCCATACAACCAGCATTTCTGATGAGGGAGAACTCCATTCTGCTCAACTCTGTAAGCCCTGTACCAGCAAAGTATCTGTAACAACGTATGCTTGACGAATGTTTGATGAATGGCTCAATAAACCAGTTCAAAACTAAATTACAAAGGAAAATAGAGAAGCAAAAAGAAGGAAACGAACCGGTAAAAAATGTTCTTAAAGGGCAATTAAGTTACTATATATTCACACGAGTAATTCACTTAAATGCAACAACCCAAAACACATACTGATGATGCACCGACTGTTAATGGCTGGCCTTTAAATTATGAAAACAAATGTAAATGGGTCTTATATTCCTTACTTTGGGGAGCTGAATTTTTTTTTTAAGTTTATCTATTTAGACAGAGAGAGAGAGAGAGAGAGAGAGAGAGAGAATCCCAAGCAGGCTCTGCACTGTCAGCACAGAGCCCAATGCAGGGCTTGAGCTCACGAAACATGAGATCAAAACCTGAGCCATAGCAAGAGTCAGACCCTTAACCAACTGAGCCCCCCAGGCGCCCATGATTGCTGAGCTATTCGAATCAGCTGCATGAGAATATGCCATGGGGTAGAAGAGAAAAAGGAGAGACTAGTTTTTAAGACAGTTTAAAACGGTAAGAATTAGTGTATGTGCTGCCGAAGCGAGCACTACAACGGTAAGAATTAAATTATGCAGCTTTTGCCATGACACTCAAATGGCGAGGAATCTCACTCACCAGCAGGTGTGGTAACAGCGTGGGATCTCAGGTTTCCTTTAAGCGAAGGCTCCCGTGGTCATGCTGCTCATCCACGCTGCCCAGTGACCGAGTTTTCAGCGCGCTGTGAATCAGCCTGCCGACAGTGCTCACACACAGGCAAGAGTTGCCGTCTCACCACCGCCCCAGCCTCTGGCTCTGGGGACTTTGTCTCTCCGGGAACTGGCAATGCTAGCACGTCACCTGGAGCCAGATCACCCCACCAGCTACACCAGGGTTTCACAAGCTTCAGGGTGCATAGAAATGGGGGGAGAGGGGAGCAGGGGGCTCTTAAAAGGCAGATGCTGCTTCAGGACACCCGATAGGAGGCCCGGGAGCCTTCCTTCCTAGGAGCTTCCTGGAGGACGCTTTCCTGGCAGGACCACCCTCCACCACGCTTACGGGGCGGTGCAAGGAAGAAAGAAGGGAGAGCTCGTCCTCCCCGATTTCCTCGACGTACACTTCACCTTCCCTTCCCGAAACTCTAAGGGCAGTGAAAACCTCCTCACCTAACGGGGTCGCGCTAGGCTTAGACGTTAGGGTGTCTTCAGGACCCCCGCTCGCTCTCAGAAGGCTATTTAGGAGCACGAACACCAAAATCTGCGCACTCATCACATCCGGGGCTCTGGCTTACAGCTAGCGCTGTGGGCTCAGGTCCTGGCATCCCCAGTGCCGGAGGAAGAAAAAGCCCAACGTGAAGGCCATTTGGGGAGCCCCCCCCCCCCACCCTTCACTTTCGGGCCAAGACACTGGCACATGTTTCAGATTCTCCTATAGTAGCTGCGGTCAGGGTAAATCTGTCCTTCGACAAAGGGAACCTGGAGAACCTTCCTCCAGGAATTCCAGCCTCGCTTATTCTCAGATTAGACAGAGAAGCTGGCTCACAGGGGATGCCAGCGGGCTTGGCCACCAGGTCTCAAGTCTATCCGGAGCCAGCAAACGAAACAGAGGCCGTCTATTGAAGGCCGGTGCGGGAGGGGCACGAGCTTTACGGTTTGGCACCAGCTTGCACGTCAGCATCCCACTTTGCAGGTTTGTCAGCGGAGAAGTTCACGGGGGTGAGGCAACCCGCGCAAGGTCACAAAGCCTAAGGAGCCTGAGGCTGTGCACGCTGCCCCAAGCCACAGTCCGGCCTTTCCAATAATGCCTACGGAACAAGTAGAGAGGGGCGCTGAAGAGCAGCCAGGCGTCCGGCCACAACGCCGCCCGTGGACCCCGCCCCTCGGGCCAGCAGGACCGCCCCTAAAGGGGAAGGGGGAGAAAAGGAGGAAAACCACTTCCGGGAGACAGCCGCGAAGAGGGCCAAGCACTTCCGGTGCGTAGCGACTGAGGGTCGTTCAGGGTCAGTGAGCTCGCAAGCGAGGGGGTCAGCTAAAAAGCGCAGAGGGACTACAACGCATCGCTAGGTATGGGAGACAGCAGGACTGGGGACGAAAGTGTCGCCGCTTACCCGCGTCCGGGGACGCCCGGGTCAAGCGTCCGAGTGCGCGACGCCATGTTGAGTCCAGTGGTTTAAATAGCGTGGGCGGGGCCGCGGGAGGCGGGGAGGCGGGGGGAGACCTGCGTCAGCCTGACGGCTTCGGAGCGCCGCGCGCGTAGCTCCGCCCCGACCCCTTCACGAGATCTTCCTGGGCAGGCGCGCCGCGAGCGTGGGCCAGCCCTGACGGGCGGGGCCTTGTTGAGTGACGGCCAGGCCCCGCCTTCCGGTTAAGGGGGCCGCTCAACATGGAAGTGCCTCAGGCCTGCATTGGTAGGGCGGAGCTCAGGGCGGGCGCGGGGCGGGCTCCAGCCCCTGGAGGTCGCTCCCCCGGGTGGGTGGGTCGGAGCTGGGCCCCAGAACCCTGTCTGGTGTGGCGGCGATCCCCCACGCCACCGCCCCCTGGCAGCAGACGGAAGCAGGGCCTGCGCTGGCAGGCCTCCCCGATACGGAGTGCCCCCACTCCACTTTGCAGATAGTAAACCAACCCCAGGGCTCGACTGCGGTTAGGCTGAGCCTCCTCCCGCCCGCAAGGGTGGTCTCAGGTTCCTAAATTCGAGGCCCAGGCCAGGTGCCTCATTCGAAGGCCCCGGAGTTGTTGGGGGGGGGGGGGCGGTGGGCAGAATGGGGGTCCTCCAGGTGAGCAGCGTTGTGGCTGCTTGATTTCATCCACGTGGTGATGCCAGGTGCACTGAGCCTTCACGGAACACTTCTATCGTTCACTTTATCACAAGCAATCAAGGAACGGGTGCGCTTCACATACCTTGGAGCCTTCAGTTGCCCTTGCCAGTCATGACCTTAGTTTGTCCTGAGAAACTTGGTGATGAAATATATGGCATTAATGAATAATCGCTCATTGCCTTATGGAATAGTCGTGGGCATCAGTATTTTTTTGGTTTTGTTTTGTTTTGAATATATGGATGCTTGCAATGGAAATGTGGGGCAATGGGAATGAGGACTTTTGAAATGTAGTGATGCATTTGCAAAGAACACATGTACCCTTCCTTAGGAATTTGCTACTATATGCCGATTTTACCTTTCACTATAGCAGCCCTGTCTCAAAAGTACAAAGGTCAAAGAAAAAAAAAGCCTTGCCTGTTGTAATTTGATGTTTCTTGCCGAGTACTTGTACATTGCATAATATATGTGATGAATAAATATGGAATGTTGTCATTTTTTTAATTAATAAAACTATATTGAGTCAAGGGGAAAGGGGAAAAAGTTCTCCTGAAAATTTTGAGTATTTAATTAGACTTTAATTGAAAATACTGTGCTTAGCACAGAGAATTATATATTTAAAGAAAGCCTTGGAATGATGACTATCCTAAGACTCAAGCCATGTGGAATAGCTATACCAATTTACAGCATTTTTGTCTTTTGTTTCGTCAATTTCACAGCTCGAATGAAGCACATCAACCTGTCCTTTGCAGCATGCGGGTTTCTGGGCATTTACCACTTGGGGGCAGCATCGGCACTTTACAGACATGGCCGAAAGCTCCTGAAGGATGTCAAGGCCTTTGCAGGGGCTTCTGCGGGATCCTTGGTTGCTACCGTCCTACTAACAGCACCAGAAAGAATAGAGGTAATTAAGTGGTAACTAGGCTGTGTTCCTTGTCAGGAAATTAAGACCGAACCACAGAGATGAACGTTAGCTGTGCTAAGTTAACTACAGAGAAATAATCCTTTGCCTGGGTAACAGAAAAGGTTAAGACTTTTCTTTAAAAATTTAATTATTAGGGATCTGTGCTCTACATACGGGAAGGATTATTTGGGGTGACAGACAAGGAAACAAAATGCCTTTTTTTTTTTTTTTTTTTTTTTTTTTTACTCTTGAGTATTTAGTCTTAAGATTCCAGCTCAGTTTCTTTCAACCAAACAATATTTGTTTTATCTGATCATGAGAACACAGGGCCTGTTTTCAAGGCCCTGAGCATGTGGCCGGTAACGCTTTGTTCGCTCCTATTGACAAACAGTTGTATAAATGAAAACGCGGGCCAATAATTTCTATTAAGTGGAATGATACAGGGGTTTTATTTGTTTTTCATTCTCAGTCAGACGCCATGAATTTCAAGCGATTTATCCAGAAGTAATGAAAATAAGCTTCCATTACAGTTATATGCAGTGAACATATAACTAAGGTGTGAACACCCCCTAAGTTGGCAGAATCCTATGGTTTGGATTGCAAAGTAGTTCTATTCCAGAACTTTTTGAGGCAGGGGTCTACTAAGAGATCGCTTCCTCCTCCCTAGTGCCGTCTTTTCTGTAGGTGGGGCAAACTCCCAGCTATGGAATTGAGTAGGCTTGATTTTGAATCCTCAGATTTTGAAATGTTTTAATTGTGGGGTCCTGGGTGGCTCAGTCTGTTGAGTGTCCACCTTCAGCTCAGGTCATGAGCTCACACGGTTCATGAGTTTGATCCCCGTGTCGGGCTCTGTGCTGTCCACGCAGAGCCTGCTTTGAACCCTCTGTGTCCCTCTCTCTCTCTGCACCTCCCCTGCTCACTCTCTCTTCGCTCTCTCTCAAAAATAAACATTAAGAAAAATGTATTAAGTGTGATTTAGAATTAACGTGATTTGGAAATTCTGCCATAATACTGGCACTTAACTGAAATTCTGTGATCAGATAGTGACGTTTTATCTGGATTCGAGATTTGATATCATATTGAAGCTAGATTACCTGTTCTATGTTTTTTCAATGAATTGGAAAGCCATCTTATCGTCTAGTTGTGTTGCTGTGATTGGGTTGGTTGGTAGGTTGGTAAAGGGGTAGGACTTATTGGGTGTTCACACTGGAAGGTGGAGAATGATTCTCTGTATTAACCTAGAGCAATCCGCATTTCTCCTTTTTCAACATAAATTTTCAGCCATGTGGTTTAAGGTTATTTTATTTCTCTTCTTTTCAACACTTGAAATACACCACCTGTAGGATCGCTTTGAGTTTTTTAGCACACTGTTTTGTACTTAGTCACATCCGTGTTAGCTCAGCTCTTGCTGACAGTTCCTCGAGCTGTGTGGTGTTGTGACAAATACGTGAGTAATTAATCTAGTTCAGAGCGTATGCATGTATAATTAAGAGGAGCACCTGATGCTGGGTGTATTTTAGGTGGCAGGCAAATTTAGATGTTGATATGTAAGCGCTCAGTGCTTCAAGCCTTTCCTCAGCCCTCACAGTTTGCCAGGCACAGTGTTAGCACACAAAGTCCATTCCTTAATAAGTTTCCACTGTGATCAGGGGTGTGTGTAACTAAAATTAACATAAGAAAGGAGGTTAGGTGGGCCGTCCAGCTTAGTGGAAGGAGCACACACTTGGGGGGCGGTCTCTCGCGGGGGCTTCCTGATGGCGGCCCGCGTCCACTCCCACTGCCCACAGACCACCCACCTCACAGCACTTGTGCTGATTTTACCCAAACACAACTCTGATTCTCTTATTCCCCCGACCTTCCCCCCACCCACCCACCCGCCACTGCCGGCTCTCTTTTGACTCAGCATAGGATCCAGATTTCTAAGCATGCTTCCCCAGGCCCCAAGTGACTTAGTCCTCACACGGCTCACTGATGATGACCTTCAGGTCACTGTCCCTTGCTGGCCTGTGCTCACAGATGTCTCTGTCTTCCCCATCTATTCCCATCTCCCGTCCAGCTCCTACGCATGTCACACGCTGTGGGAGGCTCTGGTTAGCGCTCACTGTATTACTTTTCTTCTTGCTGCTACGATAAAATGTTTTAGTGGCTTAAAACAGCACACATGTATTCCCTTCGAGTTCTGGAGGTCATAATTCTGGAAAGGTCTCGCTGGACAAAATCAGATCATCAGCAGGGCCGCGCTCCCTCGGGAGGCTCCAGAAGAGAATCGGTTTCCTTGCCTTTTACGGTTTCTAGAAGCAGCCTGCATCTCTGGGGTCACAGCCCCTCCCTCGCTCTTTCACCTTAAGCACGGCACCTTCAGATCTCTCTAAGGCTGATACTCCTGACAGCCTCTTTCACTTACAGGGATCCTTGTGATTATACTGGCCTCACCTAGGCAATCCGGGATAAGGCCCCATCTCAAAACCTTTAACCACATCTGCAAGATTGCTTTGCTCCGTGAGGAAACATGTACACAGTGCAGGGACCAGAATGTGGACATCTTTGGGGATGACAGGCTTCATTCTGCTTCTCACGCCTTCACGGCGCTCTCACAGTGCTCTGGGCCCCACGCACTGAGGCACCGCTATGTCTCATGAGGGCAAGGGATCTTTGTATCTCGTTCCGGCTGAGCCCCAGTGCCTCGGACCCCATCTAGGTTGGTTAACGTATGAATTAATAAAGGAAAGATAGACCGGGTTTCAAATCCGACTCTGGAGGATTTTTGCTGAAAAACTGAGAAGGAAGCTTAATCTTTCCAAGCCTCAGTCTTCTTACCTGTCAAGTGGGGTGATTATATCCATCTTGCAGGGTTATGTGAGCATGAGCTGACAGACACTGCATCCGTGGATACCAGCACATTAGACGCACCCCACTCCCCAACTCCGCGCCCCTCAGAGACTGTTACAAACAAATACCAATGCCCGAGGCTGGACTCGAAACACAAACGGCAGTGATCATGACTCCGCTCTCGGTCGTTCACGGTATCATTAATAATCGGTACTGTCGCAGTCAGACTGTTCCCAGAGGCCATAGAGTTGGGATGGGAGAGGAGGTCAGTCGTGTTGCAAAAACGTGTACCAGAATGGGTCCTAAGTGAGCATCAGAATTGAGACTTCAAGGATTCCCCAGATGTGGCTGAAGCCATTTGAACTCATTTGAAAAGAAAAGAAGGGGGGAAAACAAAAAAACAAAAAGATGGGATTTTGGAAAACACAGAGCCTGCCTGGGGACTAAGAACGATGGGGGAGGGCCAGGTCAAATGGGGATTCACGTACCTGTGAAGGAAAGGGGCCCCCAAACTCTAAGGGTTGGGTTTACAGGGTGTAGGGTCCAGGGTTCCTTGTGTGATGGCCACAGCATTCTGGAAAAAGAAGGAATTGTTGTCGTTATTGTTCCTTGGAAATCACAGGGTCACCTATTCATTTTCTCTTCCAGGAATGTAATGAGTTTACCTACAAGTTTGCCGAAGAAATCCGAAGGCAGTCTTTTGGGGCACTAACACCCGGCTATGATTTCATGGCCCGATTGAGGTATACCTCTGTGTATAGAACATTTCCCCCAAAGCCTGTGAAGACGCAGGGTGGAGGACACTCTGTGTAAACCGTGGCAGGCTCAGCACAGAATCCTCTCTTCTAAAATATTTACAAGGCGTTCAATAATTCAAGGTGAGTGACGCGAGTCACTTTTTCTTCTTTAGAAGCGGAATGGACTTGATTCTCCCTGCCAATGCTCATGAGCTGGCCCACAACCGACTGCACGTATCTATCACCAACACGAAAACCAGACAAAATTACCTGGTCTCAAAGTTTTCCTCCAGGGAGGACCTTATTAAGGTAACACAGCCGCATCTCACGTTTGAGGAATTCGGCAAGTACTGATTTAAATACTTCTCCCGGCAGTGAGCATCACCACGTTCTGTAGATCTAGGTTTCATATCACACCTGATAGATGATGCGCACTCAACAAATCATGTGTTTGGGGATCGATTGACCAGTGTCCCTGGGTGTCACACAGCGTCACTTGGGTGCAGCTGAGCAGGGTAGCTGTACTCAGTACCTTGAAATGACGTAGCTGGTAGCTTCCAGTTCACGTAAGACTTCGTCCACACGTTGCCTTATTCGGTCCTTCCCAGGCCTCCTGTACATCAGGGAAGACAGACGTGATTACTGCCCTTTTACTCTTCTCTCACGGAGGAGAAAGGGGTGGAGAGATTTTGCATGACCTGCCAGCGGGAATGCCCTCTGGACCCCAGGTCTCTTGGCTTTTCAGTCTCATGTCCCATTGGATTCCCCCATTTTGTTTTCTTTTTTTTTTTTTTTTTTATGAAATT